AGAGTCGATATCCAGGGGAATCACTTTCTGAACAGTTTATCTCCAGATTATAAATGATAAAGCACTGAGAGATAGATCAGAATTCACTGAAATATACAGATCTTGTGCAAGTAAAAGCTACAGATGCTAACAGGGCCGGAGTGGGACTCCTTTTCAGCCCTGGAGTTTCAAGCCTCAGACCGGCCCACCTCAGTTCATGACTATATTAAAATAAGGTCATTCCACTTCAGTTTCTAATGACACTATCATGTCTTTTTTTGAGAAAACAGCTGCTTTAGAACTTCAAATGTTCAACAACCCTAACAGTATTATATGTCTCAACAATAAAAATGAAAAAAAAAAAAAACATTCTTAGACAAGGATCAAACCCAAATCAGCGGCGTCGTAATCTAACGTGCTAACCACTGGACCACAACAGTTGTATATTGAAAAGAGACACATCTGAGTTATATCATCATTATATATAAAATGAGCAGAGCTGCGGTTAAATAATGAGTAAGAAGACTGTGGTCAAGTAAATAAATTAATTAATTTAAAAAGTGTGACAGCTAAGAGCAACAGATTCTGGAGCTAGGGACACCGGCCCTCGCGGCCAAGAAACAGACCGGCCCACTGGGAATTCTCCCGGTCCTCCCGATTAGCCAATCCGGGCCTGGATGCTAATATAGAGAAGCCAAAGATGGCAAGAATGATACAGATTACATGCAAGCTGTGCAAGCCAGGCTAGCAAACTGAAATATGCAAACAATGACGTCAGGTATAAAGAGCTAGTCCTGGCATCGTTGTATTCTCCTGCCAGAAAAAAATGGATTGTGTTTAAACTCCTCTACACCAGGAGTCGCCAACCTTGTTCCTGGAGAGCCACCTTCCTGCAGAATTCAGCCACAACCCTGATGAAACACACCTGAACCATTTAATTGGACCGCAGACAGCTGTGTTTGGTCAGGGCTGCAACTAAAATCTGGAGGAAGGTAGCTCTCCGGGAACACGGTTAGTGACCCCTGCTCTGATTGCGATCGCTAAATTGTCTGTTTGATGAGGTTA